GAGTGTATTCCCATAAATAGATTGAGTTGTAATATTTTACGAACATACTTCAGTTAACTTGTGACAATGATTATTAATTAGAAATTAGTTCCCAAATAGAATTTGTTTTAGATATGGCTAATCATTTGAAGGGCCTTCTACAAGGAAATTCGAAATTGGATTTGTGTTATTTGCATGATGGCCTGTTTGTAGCATAAGAAAGGTCCGAAACTAAACCAGTTTGACGGTGTTCCAAAATTATCATGTCAAGGGATCTCGAACAGGGATTCTAGTTGAATCAATTGTATTTAGAGTCTCATTTGGACCAGACAGGAAATCATCATTCAGAATATCTCAAAAAGCGGAGGTAGTAGATTCGTAGATGAGCAGATGTGGACAGGTAGGTCAGAGAGAGGCGGGCGGTGTGTGAACATACATATATTTATATGTTTTACATACACATAGTACCCCTCATGATCCTGCGCCTCTTTATGAAATGCTGCAAAATACAGTGTTGTTGAGCATTACACCTGCCTTTGTTTGGCTCCTGGAAAAGGGTCAACATGAGCATGGCTTACATGAAGCATAAAGCTCACCAAAATTACGTGAAAGTTTGCATAAGAACTTTCCGTTGTTTCCACTGGATTGCTAAGAACTTGAACATGTTGTACCACTACGTCACAAGTTGTTTTACAACCTCATTTTTTTCTACCACTGGATTGAAGATTCAAGATTGGACTTTGTCACAGAAAGCTTTTCCGAGAATCTTGTCAACGCACTTTGAGAATCCAGCCATTGCGTGAACTTGCAGGGTTGTAGATAAAATAAATTCAATATTCAAGATTCCCCAAAGAAATGTGTTTTGGATCATTGAACCCTGAAAGTATTGAGTCCCATACTTGCTTTATTTGTTTTTCAACAATCCAGTTGGCCCAATACTCTTAGATGCATGCAGACTCTGTTTGATGACAGATGTTGATATCATTACTTGCATTACATACGCATGTATATATGTATATATACACACAAATTTGCCACACAATCAAACATTTATGATTTCTATCATTAGTGTTAAATGATTCAGTATGTCTAATATATTAGCTTAATATCGCTATGTATATGACACGTGTATAGTGCTCACTTCTCTAGTTGTTTGTTATGTAGTTGTTTTCTTATTCATTGTCATTTTGCTTATCCTTAGTATGTATCGCCCGAATGGGAGAGGGGAGCTTAGGGTGGCCATTTTTGTGAGGCTATGCTATTTGGGATCATTTGCGGAGAAATCAATAGGACTAGGACAGTGCCAATGTTGGGGTCTATTCGGGGTTCCCCATGTTCATTTTGCGACCCCAGGTTGGCAACGGGTTTAGCGTTTAGCCCCCAGCTTACCCGTTCTTCCTTTTGCATGTTTGGGTTTCCTTCATGTTCCCCTTCAAGCAGCCAAACACTGTCACGTTTTGCAAGGATTCTAAGTCTGGCCAAGAAACTAGGGATCCTTGAACTGTGAAGGGAACACAAACGGAAACCAGATTTTGAGAGGTGCCTTATTTTTGAACTCACCCAAAGGTTGCCAGCAGACGATGGTTGCAGCATGATGATAATTCCGCTTAAGGTAGGAGTTGTGGAGGACCGTTCTTGCATTCGCCAGGCTCTGGGACTTTTTGCCCGAGTCCGCATGATTCGCCTTTGCCTCAGTTCCGGCAAAAGTACTGTAGATGGACGAAATCCTGCACCACCTAAGAAACCCTGGAATGTTGACCCCCCTGGAAATACCAACAAACAATGGTGTCTCATGGCTGATTAGGTGGTGCTGGATTTCGTCCATCCACAGTATCTCACGGCATCTTTGTTGGTGTCGTTTTGCTGACCAAGGGACGGCAGAGATCAGCAAATCAAGAAACGGCCTGCATTTGACGGGCAGTCTGAGCTTGACCAGTCAGGCCAACGTTTCACTGAGCGCCTTACATGTCCAGCTTTGGGTGATTTTGACATCGCCTTTTGGCCCATTTTGAAATGATGCTCGTTTTGCTGGGGTGATGTATTTTAGATTTTAGGTTGGACACATCATAAGAACCACCCATTGGTTCCTTTTCTTTTGGCGTCCTTTTGCAACTGTTCTCGCAGAATCATGCCCGGTTCACAAATGGGCTTGCCCAACTCAGGGGAAAACCCCTTGTGGGTATCCCGTTTTCCAAGGGCATGCGGCTCCATCCAAATGGTTTCCTTTTCGGTGCCCTTCAAAAGCTTGACCGCTTTGAGACACATCCCCGAAGCCCTTCAGAAGCAAACGGGCCCACTCCAAGAACCTGCCACCCGTTTTTTTCTTTGACACGCCCCAAACTTTTCCGAAACACGCCCCGGAAAACCGCAAGGCGAGGGTGGACCCGAGGGCATGGCGCTGGAGTCCAGTCCATCACGGCCGCTGCGGCTCTATGTGCGGTCCTCAAGACTCAAAAAACCGCCCAGGAGTCCCTTAATATGGGTGTGGTTTTCTGAGGCCACCCCTTTTTATTGTGCCGTA